GTTGTCGCTACCACCAATTGCTGCAACCCGCATAGCTGACTCCCCTAGCCTGTGGCAAACGTCAGCAGTTGCAACACGCGAGTGTTGAGTAGGAAAATTGTTTGCTAATGTTTTTGTTAAAACGTACACACACACATACATAAATATGTATGTGTTCACAAAAGTGTGTTGTTATTGGTGGAGCACACTCGTACACGCCAAACCTTGTCACGGCCGCAGCCCAGTTGCTGCATGTCGCATGTTAAAGGTGTCATATATGCCTTGGTTGCATGTCTGTCAATTCTTGCTTTATTGTTGCCGTGATTTTGATGTCGGTTACATGCAAGCACTCATACATACACGTACCTAGAAACATATGTAGAAATTCATATTTTTTGTTTTAAACATTTTCTTCTTTTATATCAAACTCTCTCTCTACCGATCTCCTTGCCTCTCCTTGCCCTCTTGTCGTTTTTCAGCAATGTTAAAAATTCAGGATAGCATGTTAAAACTCGGTGACTTGCCGTTGGTGGGGTCAGCAGTTGGCTAAATAACTCAGTAACTTTCATGCGAATATTTGTCATTGTTCATACAGACATTCATACAATATGTATTGATGTTCGAAAGTATTGTCGTATCTCGCTGACAAGTTGCTAAGTTAGTGAGTGCGCACACACAGCTTTGCAGTATCTACGGTTATCTGTTCTAATAGAGTAGGCCTAATAGAGTGTGCTGGTGCTGTGTGCGTTGTCTTGTGGCATGGAAAATGTTGCAAAACAAATGTGGCTATTTTCCTTTTAAGGTATGATGTATCCATAGTATGTGTGTGAGTGTACGCTTGTGTGCTTATAACAGATTGTGGCAAGGTACGTAGATAAGTATTGAATGCCTTTTTATAAATGTTTTCAAATCAATGTTGTGCGACAAGTGGCAAGCAGTACAGCTGCAACAACTGCCAGTCATACGGGAACGAAAAACTCAGCTAAAAGAAATGTATCGATGGCAACCTTTGATTGAGGGCAAATATTAAATTGGGAAAAATAAACTAGAGGAGTACACATTTATTTAACTATGTATCTATGTATGTATATGTGTATCTTGTTTATCATATAATTATACATGTATAAAATAAAATAAAAAAAATTAAATTACATAAAATAAAATAAAATAAAATAAAAAAAATAAAATAAAATAAAATAAAATAAAATAAAATAAAATAAAATAAAATAAAATAAAATAAAATAAAATAAAATAAAATAAAATAAAATAAAATGAAATGAAATGAAATGAAATGAAATGAAATAAAATAAAATGAAATAATATATAAATACATAATATGAAATTATATAATGTAAATCACATTTAATAAAAATTTATTAAAATATATTATATAAAAATTTTTAATTTAATAAATACACATTTTTTTTTTATAAAATAGAAAACCCCCAAAATAAAGTGAAAAAAATTGAAGCAAAATTTATTGCTTTTTAGGTTGTTTTAATTTTGTATTTTATAATCTCAATTATTTCGAAACCATATCACATTTCGTTTCCTAAAATTCCACGTATTGTCTTAAAATTATTGACTGCTTCAACGATATCCTTATTTTTGCTACCCTCAATACAACATTTATTCAGCTCTCCAATACATACATATACACTCTCGGTAGAATAAGCCTTACTTATTTTGTATTGATATTTAAATAATCCGAAGGAAGAACCGTCGTTTCTGTCAAACTGTCAAAAATATCAATTGGATTGAAGTGCATACGCGTATTTGTTGCGCGCACCGCACTGACAGGCGACACATTCAAACTCAAATACAGATACATACATACATAAGTTATATAGTATAGAAAGACAAAGTGAAATGTTCATGTTCACTCATATGTCGTTTACTACATCAACAACAAAAAAAGAATCGATAGAAATGCTACATTCACAAAGAACAAATGCTCTTAAATATGTATGCACATACACTATATATATATATATATATATATATATATATATACGTTTGTATTAGAGATGTTCAAATGTCATCATGTATGTATGCTTTTGATTTCCGTTTGCATATCAGCCAGGTGATTGGCATACCGAAATTCTGTCAAAAAATAATCGTTAAACATGAAGTTTACGCTTTACTTACTAATCGGGCATTATTCAATGCTCAATGCTGCTCAGTGTTCAATGTTCAAATTTGGAAATTGTTCATTGGTGAATCCGCACAAAGAAACACGTCTGTCAAATATGATTTCTGTGATGCTTTTTAGTATGGTATTAGTCGTCCTTAGGGGATGCATATTCGTACAATTTGATTTTTATCCCACATATGAGTGTATATATATATACACATGTATATCTGTATGTATTCATGTATGCATGTATGCTTGTAATCAGGGCTAAGAGCGAAATAAGCATCTTATTTGATGTTTTGTTATACTTTATGCGGTGACAGTGGCCGGAGGAAGAAGATGAAAGAAAGGTGAATTGTTGTCAGTTGTCTGTTGTTCGAAAATAAGGTTTAAAATTATATATAATCTTATACATATATGCATATGTATGTGTATTTATATTTGTATATGACTGGTAAAAGTGAGAGAAGTTTCTATCAGCTAAACACGTGGGGAAAAATCCATTAAAAAATATAACTTAAATAGAAATTTGTTGGTTTTTATAGAAATAGGATTTCAAATTAATTGTGACAATTATTATTTAAATAAAATTAAATTTAATTTCACACTAACACAGCAAATTGGGCAGATTACTTAATTATTTCTGATCAGCTTATTTTATTTTATTTAATTTTTTTATTCACCGATGCTATGTACAGAGGTTTGTTCAGCTAGCGGTTGCTTTTAATGTCATAAAATAAACAAAATTGATATGAGCACATGGTATACTATATATCAAAGTTCATGAACTGACAGTACGAATCGATTTAGCCATGTTTGTTTATCTGTCCGTCTGCAAGTCCAATCGCCAAGTAGGATTTGCGATATTTTGATAAAAAGTATTCAGTTCCTTAGCCCACAACTACGCACGCTGTAACAAATGGATGATACCGGACCGAGCTCATTCCCACAACCCATATAGCGGTAAATTTGAAAAGTACAAAATTCGCATTAATTCACTAAATAGATGTTAAGATGTAACATCAACCACTTTTGAGTCAAAAAAATATATTTCTGAAACTCCAAGAAAGACAGTTTTGTGGATTAAATACCACACCCATAGTCTGGTAGGAAGACCAGTAAAATATGGACTCAATAGAACATCAACTGCGCCTCTTTTCCATCGCACGAAGCTTTTACTTTCTCGAATATTTAAGGCTTTAATCAACAGAGCTTACCAATCTTCTTGAATAAACTACTCTTCATTAGAACTACGATCCTATCACAAACTGTTGGAATTGATCCAGCATAAACCCACCTCCCATATAATAGAGCTCATATTTCTGACCAATTTATGTACTTGTGGAATATCTGCTGAGTCTTTAATGTTCGTTTTCCCTCTTACTTAGATTTTCCTTGTGACTGTGATAAAAGATTCTTCTTATCTCTAAAGAATTTCAGGAAACCAACATGATTTTTGATACTTAAATACTTAATGAAGCTAATTCTATAATTCAGTCTAAGACTCTACGTTGGATTCACGGTAACAGAGGGCTCTACGCCGACCGTGAGCTTTACGATGGCAGAAGTAGTGGTTTCCAGTCTCTGCCTCAGCTGCTACAATAGTGGTTGGATAAGTCTCCATCCTACTGTCATGTGTTAATTCCTTCGATAAATCGCCATGTGATTCACTGCCGGCGTAAGCTATTGGCTGCGGTAGTGAACATCGACCGACAGGAGAGACATGCCCATATCGTACGTAAAACTAATTATAGTTAGTACTCTTTCTCCTTTAGGCAGCTCGTCGTTAACAGTCTCCTGATTGATTCTATGTTCCAGGGCCCATGCAGTAGGGAGTTTTACTAAGTATTTCTTCATTTTGTTGCCAGCTCAGACGTGTTAAAAGTGTATTGAAGACAGCTTAGTCGCCAAAAGAGATGATGATGACTTGAATTAACATTGCAAAATCAAGTACCCGTGAAGTCGCTTTTAGTATTACATTTATTTCTGCTTGAGAGACGCTGCAATGATCAGACGGTACTGAGCGGATACACAGCGCATACTGCCATAAAACTTTGAGACGTCGTTAAAAATAGCTATGATCCTTCGAACCACAATTTTTCCATCTTTCCATTTGTTACTCTCTGAATTTTATGTTAAAAATACATTGGCAATAATACATCTAAGGTATTCTAGTTCATATAATTCTAAGAAAAATGTAGAAAAAAAAATTTTCTGTAAGTCGGTTGAGAATTTCATATTAGCTTTTAGGCTGCGAATGAAAAGTGGACCAAAGAAAAAGCTTCTAGGAGGTTTAAATAATGAGGACTGAAAATGCAGTAGAAGTTCCACCCAATTATTGCCTTTAAAAGGTTACACAAAACTCGAAAAAAATTATGAAAATCAAATTTTTTCAATCTTAACATTTTTAATCTTTGTCATGGCCTTACAACATTTTCTTCTTCCACCCAACATTAGTTCAATTTTTATCGAAGACAAATCGCTTTACAATAAACGTTAAATTACGCTTAACAAGCTTCCACCACATCCTTTTCATACAATTTGAGTTTCAATTAAGAAAAGTACTTTCTATTGGCTTATTTAACAGATTGCAGTAACATTTACACACACACATATGTACATACATATGCAATACTCAGCTAAAGGCAAAACCATAAACCTACATAAATACATATGTATGTATATGTGCACATGTATACTCGTATATTTAGGACTTTCACTCTGACCATTTGCACATTGTTGAAGTTCAACATTTGTCCTTTAGTGGCAATAAAATCTAGACAGGACAGCAAAAAAAAAAAAAATACAAGAAAAAATTGAAAACTACATTAAACACATTTTTAATCTCTTTTCTTCTTCTTCTTCCGTTTTGGTACTTTCGTTACAGGCTAAGCTGCCATACAGTCACTGCAATTGACTTCAATCACATGTGACAACAGCAGAGCGGAGCTAGCGGCAGAGTGATAAGTGCAGAAAAAAGGATTATAATCACAGTAGAAAGGAAACAGAATTGTGAAGGATATTTTAAGTGAAAGAGAAGAGTTGAATTAACAAAAAAAAAAAAAAAAATTAAATAAAATTTTTTTCGGCGTCTGAATTTGTACTGAAAATTCCTGCACACAAAGTGATAATCGTATAAAATATTGCAGAGAGAAAGCAAGCAAATAAAAAGGATAAAAACTTAAAACAGGCAGCGAGAGAAGGCGTCGCACTGTGGCTGGCGGTGTCTGGTGTGTCGAATCGGAGGAAACGGTTTCAAACTCACTTAAGTACACACATTTGAAGTTGACACATAAGCACAGAGCAGATGTATGTATATACAAACGAGTGCATATATGTATAAGTGTATATGTATGTGCATACTGTGAATTGAATGCTAACTAATCCGCTGCCAAGCAATGAGAAGAACTAAAAGAAACTAAAAACTAAAAAGCAAAACAAAAGTTACTCCTTCCTAAACACACATACATACATATAATATATATGTATATAGATATATAGTGCAAAGCTTAGACAAACAAAAAAAAAAAAGAAAACTTTTAGCCGAAAATACAAAAACACACAAACTAAATAAAATGCCTGCCATAACAAGTGAAACGACGAGAGCAACAACTACAACAGCAGCGGCGTTGGCAAGAGCACCACCCGCTCCCTCCCACAACCGCTGCCTACGGCCAATCCGAGCGACAGTGATTGCAGCAGCGACAGCAGCCGCCTCCATGCTCACATCCGCAGCAGCAACGCTGGCAGCGGCGGCGACAACAGTAACGTCAGCAACGTCAACAACAACAACAACAACTATTAGGAACTATAACCACCACAATAGCATCATATCACTAACACAACAGCCGGATACTTTGCAGCAACGACTGCAACCAGATGTTGTCGATACGGACACCGGAGGTGGCAGTCGATTGGGCGTAAGCGTAAATGTTGCACTGCCCCAACGTCTTGCCAATAACTTGCTAAACAATTTTCTGCCTGCCATTGATGCTGTCACAAACGCAACAACAACTACAATAGTAGCAAACACCAGCAACAGCCCTAGTATTAGTAGTAGCAATGGCAGCAGTAGTAGCAGTAGAAGCAGCAGTAGCAGTAACGGAGGCAGTGTCACATATCCAACCTTCCGGCCGCCCAGCATAGAAAGTCTTGTCGCCAGCTCAGCTGAGGATTTGAGCAATTTTCATGATGTCTCCTTCGATATATTTGACGACGATGACGATTTGTTTGGCTCACCATTGGCGTTTGATGCCAGCGATAATGGCCTGTGGAATGGACGCTTTGTGCCGCCACCACCACGTCCGCCATTCCTAGTCGATGAGCCAGTGCTGAGTGATGGACTGACAACGTGTGATTTGTGCTCATGGGCAATGCCGACGAAGAGTACATTCATGTTCGAGGGCACAATAGGTGAGTTTAAGTGGGTGGATAGGTGGATGGGTGGATGGGTGATGGTTGAGTGGTTATGTGTAAGCGTAGCAGATGGGCTTTGGGTATTTGAGTGGCGTGTATGTGTCTGAGAGGAAAAGTATATTGTCATTAAATGAAATTGGTTGTGTCGAGTGAAGGATATGTCGGATGAGTTAGCTCGGAGTGTGTGTGTGAGTACTCTGATTGCTTGTGTTCACAAACAGATTGTGCACATATGCATGTGTTTGTGTGTATATGTGGACTTCGCAATCATTACCTATGCAAATGTATTAAAGGTAGTTGATATGCGAAAAAGGGATTGCTGTTGTCAGCGCATTTTTTGCGCTAAAACTGAAATAAACCAAAAAAAGAAGCCGAAAACCGGAAAATGCTAAGGGCTTTAACAGCAACCGGCATTTTCCGGTACTTTGCATTACATATACATATGTATGTATATCGATTTGAAAACCTACTCCATACACATACATATAAGTGTACGAAAGCCGGTAGATATTTGTAAGAGATTGAAAAAACATCAAAACCAGTGACGCCGCAGGCTCAATATATTTCATAAATAGAATTTAGCTTAACTTAAAAATATTTACTTCTAAAATGGTATGTTCGAAGCACAAAGCGGCTTTTGGAATTTTTTTAATGATGAAATAAAATACCAAATCTGAACATTCAGTTATATGACGGCTATATGTTTTAGTAAACTGATTTTGCTTAGCTTCACAGTTAATGTTTTTCATCTTATATACATACCCTATACCAAATTTCACTTTCGCTACCCATACAGTTAGCAAGTTATGAGCCACAATATCGTTTTTCAAAAAATAGTTTTATGACAGCTAGGGTTTTGAGCTACTAAATTTTGCTGAATTTTATTGTCAGCTTTCTATTCATGATAAGTACATAATATACTAAATTTCAGAATCTTAGCAACGAAATTGGCGGAGTTATGGACCGAAATACTGTTTTTGAACAATCGGTTATATGACAGTTAGTAGTTAGAGTGAATCAATTACGCTGAATTTTATTGCCAGCTTTCATCTCATGATATTTATGCTAAATACCAAATTTCATGTTCTTGAGACCGAAATTGACGAAGTTGCGAGCCAAAATATCGTTTTTGAACTATCGGTTGTATGACAGCTAGATGTTAGAGTGAATCATTTCCGCTGGATTTTGTTGTCAGCTTTTATCTCATTATATGTAAGCAGACTACCAAATTTCATGTTCGTGAGACCGAAATCGGCGAAGTTGCGAGCCAAAATATCGTTTTTGAACAATCAGTTGTATGACAGCTAGAGGTTAGAATGAATCAATTACGTTGAATGTTGTTGTCAGTTTTTATCTCATTATAGGTAAGCAGAATACCAAATTTCATGTTCATGAGCAGGATATTGGTGAACTGATGAACCAAAATATCGTTTTTGAACTATCAGTTGTATTGCAATTATAGGTGAAAAATATAAAAAGCTTAAAAATTTCAAAACTTTTTTAGATTTCTATAATCAAGAATTTTTTTTATAATTTTTTATGTATTCCGCACTTTTCAATATTTTTTGCTTTGCTGAAATCGACTGCGAATAATGGTAGTCCATGTGCCTGTGTGTGTGTGTGTGATTGTGTGGGCGTTTGAAATATCGTAAAGGATTTGGTTATATCTTCCTTTCCGCCGGATATGGTACACCATAACTAATTTCCGTTTATATCACTCTTTTTTCCTTTTCTCTCTCTCTCTCTCTCTCGCAGAAAAAGCTTCCGAATTGGGTTGGCCTCTGACGTTGATTATCGTTTCTGTGCTATCGGCATTGCTGGGAGCAATTGTTATGGTGACGGTTGTACGCTGTCGAAGGTGAGTAAAATTTCTACAATTCATGCATACATACACACGTATTTATATTACAATATTTTGCAAACTAACAAATGCACAAATCATTATTATAAATATTCGTGACCAAATTACGATATGAGTGTTCGTTCGGGGTTGATGCCGCAGATGAGCAAATAATAATATTTTTACCTACAAATATCAGCTGTTGTGGGTCCTGCAGCCAATTAAGTGAGGATTATGAAAGAAATGTGATACCAATTATATTTACCCAAATCTACCAATTTGTGGCAACATCACATGAAGGGGTGGTTAGCCTATTGGCAAAATCCATGTATATTCTGTATGCTTGTATGTATGTACTTACAACTACTTGTATGCATAATACTTAAATTGGCAGGAAAGCAGGAGTAAATGGGATAATTTAACCTTTGTTGGGTGTCTTCTAGAATTTCAAATTAGAAAATGTGTAGAAAGAAAATTAACCTTTTTCCTTAATTCCGAGTCATACATATACATATACATATATACGAGTTAATTCAAAATGCGATTTATAAAAAAAAATTAAATTAAAGTCGCTGTTGGTCAGAATTTTACACAAACAAAACTCTGCTGAAAAATAAAGAAAATTAGAAAAAACGATGGTTCATAGAAGCAAAAATAAGACAAAGCTTGCTTAGAGTTTAGAACTCGATTGGAGATATTAAAAATTTATTAATGAAAAATCTGAAAAGACTTTGCACATAATTTTCCATAATTTTCCGGCTAGTGCAGGGTGTCTTAGTTTCTCCTAAGCGATCTCAAATCGAATGGATTTTTATGAGGAGATTTTAAATAAACACACCCGGTTGGTTTGACATTCCAATTATAATTATATATTTCTTCTATAGAATTTTGGATGCTTCTCTATCATGTATTGAAACCCATGATCCTGCAGACTGTATCACACCCTACAAATCGATCGGCTGCATTGGCCACACCTTACTCTTCTCGGCTCTACTTCGAATATCTACTGGTTAGTGTTTAAGCTCACATCACTGAAAAATGAAGTAGAGCTCCGAAAGCGGTCTGCTGTTTACCGGAAAAAAATTCCATTTAATTTACAATCCAACGGAAGATGGCAAGTAGATGCATCTTTACTTTAGTACTCTTTTGAAAACACAGACCAACTCTAACCCCCCCTTTTGCAACTAACTAGGAACTTTAGGTACTTTTTCGAAAAAGAGTGACTCTCCAAAGAGCCAGTGTCTCAGATATACCAGTTTTCTCTAATTCTTCCGAGTCTCTCTGGAGTCATATTTATGTTAGTATATTTCTCGCTTAACCGATTTGTCTCATTTCTCTTTAATAAACATTTTTCTTTGTAACCCATTCACCACCGGAGATCTATATTGTCAAGCATTACTTGTGAGTTTAGGGTAGTTCGGGGCCACGACAGCAGAGAACTGAATTTAGTGTTGGAATCACTCAAAATTCCGTTGGTTACACGTGGCCTGCAAGTTTCACTGAAGTATTTCGGGCATATTTCTCAGATGTCAAAAGCTCCTGGAAAGCTCCCGGACCGGTGTGAATGAGGACCAATTATAATGTATTTCCTTATAATATAAGTAGCATCGGTTCAAAGGAAGAAACTTAGAGCTTTGAAAGATTAGAATTCGAACTTGAATATACCGATTGAAGCAAAATCGAACTGTATTGAATAGAATCCACCTTTAGCCCATTGTAGAAGTGAAAAAAAATTTTCATTGCATAAAAATAAACTCCAAAACTAAAAATTTTATAATCGCATTAAAATTGATAATATTTTAAGCTAAAAAAATTGTGTTTTTCCCCTCTCCCTTGCAGAAAAAAGCCGACCAACAACCGTAACGGTAAGTTGCAGTGTACAAAACTCACAGACGACGAACCGATACCCTATCTCCAACACCACCACCACCAACATTACAATAACCAACACCTTAACCATCACTATCCACACCACCACCAACACCAACACCAAAATCTCAACCAATATGTACATGAAAACTATCATCACCATAACCACCACAATAACCACAACCACCACCACAATCTACACCAGGTGTATCCCACGACCTATCGCAGCCTACACACCCCGCAATATCCGTTGCCAAGCCACCATAACGCCACGCCAACACTACAAAAACAACAACACCTGCAGCAATCCAAACGTCTACCACAGCCATTGCCAATGCAATATGTCAGCAACAGTTGTTCGTCCTCATCGCTGACCAACGATAGCCAGAGCACGCAACGCACCAGCCTATCCACGATCTATCGGCCACCAAGCTACTATAGCAGTGCCACAGTGCACGGCGGCGGCCCAGTAGCATTGACGAAGGCGGTACAAAAGCAAAAGTTGCTGAAGCAACGCATAGACATGTTCACACGTTCACTGCCACCGCCACCATCACCGCCAACGGTGCAACAGCACCATCATCAACAGCAGCAAGCACATGATGTGTCCATTGAGAGTAGGCGTCTGAGCCTGGTGAGTCACAGTAGTCATGGCAGTAGTGCGAGGAGTAGTAGCGGCAGTAGTAGAAGGGGCGGCGACGATGAGAGTATTTGCAGTGACACTTATGCCGAATCATCGGTGGCCTATGAAGAGCCGACAACGCTGGAGATAGATGCATCACCAACTGGTGATGATGGCGATGGCGAGATGCCGTCGGTTGAAGCGGCGGTTATGGTGGCGGCACGCAGCACTGAGAAATTCTGAGCGTACGCACTCCACTCCCCAACCCCCTTCAGACATGAACACATTGTAATATGAAGCTAGACGACGAGAAAGATGATGAAGACGTAGGAGAAGACGAAGGAGAATAAGAAGAAGAAGAAATTAATATGACATGAAATTAACTAAAATTTAATGAAACTCTCTTCCCCCTCTCTTCTCCACACTTTACAACACTTCACTTCGCCCCTCTGTGCTTTCCGCCCTCCACACAGAAACTCACGTGCAGTGGTGGTCACGCAATAAGCGCCCGAATGGCAGCAATAACAACAATCATTTGCGACGCAGCAATATTTATACAGCACATCCGGCGGACAGCATACGCGGCTTGCAGCAACCCTCGCTCTCGGCTGCCTCATCACTCACCACAATGACCGCAATGGGCGCATCAGCAGGGGGGCCGCTGCACTCGAATGCGGTCACACCGAATGCAACACAGCCGCCACCGCAGCTGCCACACCAGCAACAACAATACTACCATCATCCATATCAGCAGCACACACTGCAATCATCGCTCCACCGCAGCCTCAGTGGGCAGCAGCATGCGCCCGATTATGAATACGAGCATGAATACCATCAACCGCAGGAATTGCAATTGCAGCTGCAGCAGCAGCAACAACAACACCAGCATCAGCGGCAGAGCAGCTCGTCGATGTCATCGCTGTCCGACTCGCCAACATTGCCGGTGGCGAATATTAGTAAACCGCGTACGCTGCAATTGCAACATCAGCCAATGCAGCACCAGCAACAACAGCAGCATTTGGCACACAATGTGGCCGATGGTGTGACAGTTGGCTTCGTCGGAGGCGGCGGCGGCATGGGTGTTGGTGTCGGCATTGGTACAACTGGCACGGGTACAACCACTGGCTTGGGTGTTGGGCTCACATCACGTCGCGGCGCCTCCGAATTGTCCGAAGATACGTCATGTCGTTGGCCGAGCGCAACAATTGTGGTGGCCAGCTGAGTGGAAGCATACAAGTGTCGTCTGCCAGCGTCAATGCGCGGTGCCATGACAATGTTACCGGTGAATCCATATCGGGATCATTATCAAAGGCACCAGCAAAAGCAGATGCAGCACCAGCAACAACAACAGTATCAACAGCAGCTGCAACAGCAACGTGAGGTGGAAGCAAACGAATTTGTATGGACGAAATCATGCAGCTCGGAGCAATTAAAAAATGATTGGATATGGCATTGAGTGCCATGCCACAGGGTTGGCGCTGCGAGCGAATGGTGAGCACTGAAATTTCGTGGGTAGTCAGAGAAAACGGGCAAGAATGCGTGCAGACGAACATGTGATTGCAAGCATTTTACATAAAGCGCAGTGTAATTTTGAACATTGTAATGAAGAACGAAGGTTTTGACAATACGTAGGCCGCGAGCAAAATGTAAAAGGCTCGGATAGGGTAAGTGGTGAAAAGAAAATGCTTTCGCACTCCAAAAAATATACAAAATTTAACTCAAAAAATATAATAAAACAAATCATATAAAATAAGGGAAAATAAAATAAAATAAAATAAAATAAAATAAAATAAAATAAAATAAAATAAAATAAAATAAAATAAAATAAAATAAAATAAAATAAAATAAATTAAATTAAATTAAGTTAAATTTAAATATTATTAAAAAATAAAAAAGTAAAATTAAGCAAAATAAAATAAAATGAAACAAAATAAAAAAAATTAAAAAAAAAATGTAAGCTGAAACCCAGAAATGCCAACTGAGCCTAAAACTAATTTCGATTAAACAACAACACATGCTGTTTTTTGTAACTGGTTAAGGTATTTGAAGCAAATTAACACATACATTTTTAAGTACTAATGAACTAATTAGCAGCTGTTCATATGCAAACATTTTTCAAGTAGCTCAAAACTGTCGCCAGTTCAAGTGTAGCCGACGCCAGTAAACTAATTGAGATGTCCTCTTTATTGATTGCCAACGTCACAATTGATAAGGATCTCATATACAAAGAAGTCAAACTATTTATGATTTCCCAGAGACAAGGACAAAATTCCTTCATAGCCCAAAAATTTCCAAGAATCCTGTTTGCTACTCGAATGTGGGAATATAAATATTTATTGGTTTAACAGTCACCAGTGCTTAAGGGCAAAAATGAAATGGATACTTTTTCGACAAACGTACGACGTGCTCATACGGGCAAGGCATATAAATTTGTTCATTTTCCTTTTATCTCGTTGTTTTTTTTGTACTTCTTGTGGGTTTTTTTGAGCCTGCCGTGCACAGCAATCCACTTTAAATTGCACCCATAAGAACCTTCAAATCTTCAACAATCTCTTCGGGTCTTTCTTCATTGCTTTTGTTGTTGTCATTTTATATTTTTCCTTCACTCTCTCGCCATATCATACAAATTATCTGCAATCAAAAATTCTAAGCACACGTTCACAGTCGCAATTTAACGATGGTATCATCATGGCAAGACATAATCCTTAAAAATACTCCAATGGAAACACACACAACACATGCGAGTGCCAGTGTGTGTGCGTATGTGTGTTGTGTAGTTGCCAATAGTCCTGCAGACTGAAAAGTAGTAACCATTGGCCGACTGGCGACACACGCTGATTTTCTGCCGCGCACTCAAATACTCACACGTGCACACACACACACACACACAAGCCAGGCATACAGCTGAGTGCACAGGCCTTCCGGTGCAAGTGCACCATTTTACGTTGAAAAAAATAAACAACTGAAAAAAGTAACAGTTCCCGCCAAGTGTTGGAGAAATCATGAAAAAAATGTGAGTTTTCGCTGAAAATAAAAAGTATAAAAATAAATGTTGCAACAGCATTCATTCAGCTGGCGGTGGCATATGTGTATGCCTGCCACATACAAGTGGTATTCATGTAGGTGTGCATGTTTGTAGCAGCAGCAATGACATCAGCATGTCAGTCACGTTTCGTCCTTTGTGAGCAGCGTCTTTTCAATACACACACACACACACATACATACGCACACACATACCCATACTTCAACAAAATATCTCTTTTATACACTTGTTAAGTCGCATAAGAACCCTGCAGTGAAATTAAACGTTTCTTCTTCAGCGCTGAGTTTCCACAGAAAACCAGGCAAATAAACAAACGAAAAAAAAAATCGAGTAAAGAAAACAAAAAGGAAAAAAATCAACAAACGTATAAAATCATCACAACTCCTAGTGGCGCTTTTGTAATATCAAAGCCACTCCCAGTACATACGTATATATGTATGTGTTAGTTTATATGTCAATTGCACTCATTTCCGTTAATTCGCAACCAGTACTTTGTAAGCTGAAGAAAAAAGCTCTCTGCACTACATTTCCTTCCTCCTTCTTCATTAGTGTGTTGCCTTTTGCCATCATATTTCATATCCTCTCTGTGTAATAAGTGCAGATAACTCAATTGGATTGCTATTTTAGATAAGATTTCTTCGACTTTACTTAGTTGCAAGTGCGCATACTGTAGCGGATTAATTTTTCTGCTTCAATTGTTACAATGTCCTTCGTGCGGTGCATGCCGCAGAGCATTAAAGGGTTCCGGTGCGAGGGTTCAGTTACTCAAATTCTCTTTATGCCTTGTAAATTGCTACTGCTAAGCACATTTTATACTTAGTTTACTTGAGTTCAGTCGATTATTGTGCCCTAGAGAGTTGACTGTAGACCACTATTTCATTATTTACAGTCTTCCGATAGCATCGGAGGATAGGAAAAAGGGCATTTTGTATAGCTTTTGTTTTGTTTTTGGTATTCGAATGTGGAAAGCACAAGATTATTAGCTAAGATCTATTCGATTTTGGAATACTCAAACTACAATTTTTGCAATAAAAAGACGCTGAATAAATATGCACAGACGTTGGGAACTTAAAGAGACTCTTCATATTTTTCTCAATTTAGTCGGTCTGAGCAAATTCTTTTCTTTTAAAAATTTATCTTCTCATTATCACCTAAAAAAAACACTGTTTTTGGAATTTTTATTTTGGCTGCGAAATTCATTCAAAATTAAATCAAACATATTTTTCGGAGTGCGATCTTCAGCAGCATTGACCATTTGTCGTAGACACAACTCTATCATATATACCAACAGACATAAATACAAATATTACTTAAAAAAACTTAACAGACAATGTAAGAATCTAAAAAAAAATGTCAATAAATTGTAAGAAAGTGTTAAATTAAATTTAAAAAAAAATACTAAAATATTGCTATTCGTCCAATGCAATTCTTGTACGTATAGTTGAAAAAATCATATCATGGAAATAAGCGAACAAAAACAAAAAAAAAAAACAAAAAAGTATGAAGGAAAAGAAAAGTTACTGACAAAAAAAAATTGTACAATTTAAAATTACAAAAACCAATGTAGGATTATGGCGATAATAATAAAAATATATTTCTTAGCAAGCGCAGGTAAGCTTCAAAAAATTAAAAATTTATAAAAAAAAATGCCGCTCTTTAAAGTAATAATCAAAAAATTAAATAAATTACAATATTTTCTAACCAAAATAAAAATTAAAAAATTATTACAAGATATTGGATGCAAAGTAGTATTAACAAACACTATATCAGTGCAAAATAAAGTAAGTGTTGATCAATTTTAATTGAGAAATCTTTAAGAAAAAAACAATAGGTAACAAATGTATGTCATTACGAAAAAATTTCAAAATTTGTAAAATACAAGAAAAGTAAAATAAAATCATATGAAAACAAACAAATTCAAAAACTATAAAAAACAATATAAATGAACCTAATAACAAATATTTCATATGCCAAAAATAAAAATAGAAAGAAAAATAAATAAAACTGAGTTAAATGAAGAAATTAATTAAATGGAAACGAACATAATTTATTAAAAAAATAAAAAAAATTATTATATAAAAGAATTCTTGCAAGCCATAAAAAAATAATATGAAATTATTATATAATATTTATTTTAATTATTATAAAACAATAAATTAATAATTAATAAAATATGATAAAAACAAACTAAATTTAAAAAATTATATAAAATAAAAAAAATATTGAATTAAATAAAAGGAAATAAAATGACATAAAATATTAAACAAAATAAAAAAAATTATTTACTGAAATAAAATAAAACAAAAGAATTAAATTGATGTTATATAAAATAATTTAAAAAAAATAAATTAAATCATTAAAAAAAATTAAATTAAAAACCAAAAAAATAAAATAACATAAAATAAAATACAATAACATAAAAAATAATAAAAAATTATATTATAAAATTTAGCGTAAACTAAATAAAATAAAATTAAATAAATTTAAAAAATTATATTAAATAAAAATAAATTTAAAAATGTAACAAAAATAAATGAAACAAAATAATAGTTTATAAAAAAAAAATGTATTGAGTAAAATAAAATAAAAAATAAGTAGAATAAAAAATAAGCAATAAAATATAAAGTAAAATAAAAAGGAAATAAATTAAATAAATAAATTAGTTAAATTAAAAACCAAAAAAATTAAACAACATAGAATAAAATAAAATAAAAATAAAATAATTTACCATACAAATTAAATTAAAATAAAAAGGAAATAAATAAGATAATTGAATAAAATAAAGAAATTTTATATTATATTATAAAACTTAGATTAAACTAGATAATATTAAATTAAGTAAAATTAAAAACTAAAATTAATTAAAATAAAATAAAACAAAATAAAATCACACAAAGTAAAATTAAATAAAAAAATTAAATTGAATTAAATTAAATAATATAACTAAAATAAATAAAACAAAATAATATTAAATGAAAAAATTAATAATATAAAAAATAAAAGTAAAGTAAAATAAAATAAAAAAATTATAATTGAAATAAAAATAAAAATTATAACTGAATAATAAAGTTATGCAAAGTAAGGTGAAGCAAAGTAAAGTAAAATAAAGTAAAGAAATAAATAAATAAATTTAAATAATGTAAAATAAAAAAATACAATAAAATAAAATATAAAAAATAAAAGTACGGTTAAGAAAGTGAG